ATGGAGTGGCAGGGGTTCAGTGGTTCTCAATCTGTGGGTCCCCAGGTGTTTTGGCCTACAACTCCCAGAAATCTCAGCCAGTTTACCAGCTGTTAAGATTTCTGGGAGTTGAAGGCCAAATATCTGGGGACCCATCGATAAACAAGGACCAGCCAGCCTCTTCATGCTTCCTCTTCTTCCTTCTATTTGTCCCCAGTCCTGGGCGAAGTGTTTCTCCAAAGACCAATGCTTACTAGTCCTCTACTTGATGTGGGCACAGGAGAAGAAATGGGGTGGAAGCACTGCTTTCATACCTCACCATGCCAAGAGAGGTTTCTCAAATCTGCCTGTTGTCATTGCCTTTGATCTGGGTCCCTAATAGATGGCCTTTTTTCCAGCCCACACTGTTATTATTTGCCCTCATTTATATTCCTTACCCCATCTGTATTTGTATAATTGTAGACTTTTTATGATTAACCATTCTATTTACACTCCCAACCAAATTATACCTGTCAAATAAACTAATCCTTTCCTCTTTAGCTTTTTTCAAGTATGTTCCCTCTATGAATTTTTAAAAGGAGAGAAAAATATTTTAAACCCCTTTTATCCTTGAGTTATCTGTTAATTGCAGAAAATTCATGGCTCCAAAAGCTGCCTTGGACTTATCAACGAGATAAACTTATAGTCAATAGTATATGGCAAGAAAGATGTTACACTTCTTAGGGACTGAACCCTGATGTCATCTGTATTCCTTTAGTAGCCTTTTCGATAGTTAATCTGTTGTTTAACATATTGCTATGTTTAAAAATATAACTCACCCAATTATCCACTAAGGAATACTATTTCATCTGTTGAGGGACTGTGCATATCTATTCAGGCATACAAAGGTTTGATATCCTTAGGCATTTCTATTTCTCTTATTTCTAGCATCCATTAGAAATTGTTATGAAAAATATATCTATTTAGCATAGCTTAGTTGATGGAAGGAGATTCCGTCTTATCTTTCAGGCTTTGGATAAGAGCATCTTGAAGAAAGATAATAATTTTGTAAAAAAACACACTTAACCTGAGGAGTAGTGATGATAAGTGATTGTATTTTTGTACACCCATTTTTGGTGAATCTATTGGCACTGGCCTCACCAAATGGTTATACGTTTTAGATGTAGTTCAGTTTGGCTGACTGAGCAGCATTTGTTGGACAAAGAAGTCATTATCTCCTTTGTTTTGTACCGCTGTGTTATGAAACTTGATTCATTTGCTTCTTGTTCCAATACTTGCCTGCTGTCTTCTTGAGCTAAACTGGGGAATTGAATGTTTTTATAGTCTGGTTGCAAGAGTGGGGGAAATGTTTTATTGGTCATACCTATAGTCATTTGAGTGATTTTCTGCTTGTCTCTTTTTCTACCAATCTTAGTTGACATAAGACTGTTATTTATGTAGCCTGTCACTTAGCACATTCCCTTGACAGGTTGGGACTGGGGACCTTAGTTAGGAACACAAGTTATCATGACAGAGAAACAATGACAATAAGAAGAATGTGTATCCACCCTGTGTCAGATTATATGATCCTATAGTGAATAGAGGCATAAGACGTTTGAAGCACTTTGTCACACTTATTTGCATGCTTTCTGGATCTCAGTGTTGCAGCTACATGTATTCATCTTTAAAACAAGGCTTGGACAGTTGGCTACAATAACAAGTGAATTGTAGACTTAATAGTTGAGGCTTTGTAAACTGATTTACAGTCTGAGTTTCTACACATTTACTCAGCATTCACTGATCGATAAATTGGATGCATACAAAGCATGCATAAATCACCAGTTGACAGGCAGCTTGTAAATGCCATTGTTTACAGAGTATACCAACCATTCTCTAGGGAGGTGTTTTTCAACAGGGATATTAATCTCCTAAGTATTTATCTTGCTCATCTGAGTCAAATGTTAGATGTTTGACCCCATGTTGGTGTGCAAATGCCATAGCCAATAAACATGAATTTGTAAAATGGGTGAGTTTTTATGTAATCTGATCCATTAAAAACTTTCTTCTAAACAGATTTAATTCAAGCCAAAGAATCAAAGGCAAGCTAACAATATAGAACAATGGGAAAGTTTTCCAAGTTCCTGATTTTCAATGATAATATTGACATATCTAAAGCATCATGCCTAATTTGGCATGACATCTTGAAAAGTTATTCAGTAAGGCCCCGTCGAAAGATTTGCTTGATAGAAAAATATGTCAACAATACTGTAAAATTACAGGAAATACATAGTTGTGTGGCAAATGAGGTTGAGAAAGAAAAGGATCATTATAAACCAGGGAAACCCCAGAGAGACATTTGTAATTATTCCAAAACAAAATAAAAGCTTATACACAGTAGGATAAAGTAGAGATTACAAAAGAGGTATTTATCAATTCAATGCTACTATGACAGAATGGAAATGTGAGGGCAGAACGTTGGTTTGGTTAATGATTTTAGAAACAAAAAGAGATTTTACAAGCATATTAGAAACAAAACTGGATTTACCACTCAGAGTAAGAAGCCTGACAAAGAATTGTTTTTAATAGGCAGTTTTGATCAAGTCTTTCAAGGAAAAATATCAGGAGTATGTGAAAAGATTCCCAGATGGATTCTTATGACATTCATCCAATGATTCCCAAAGAATCCGCAGGGCGATATCAGAATTACTATCACTTTAAAACAGTGGTTCTTAAACTGTGGGCTGTGGACCACCAGGAGGCCCTGAGGATGAAAATCTGTTCCACGAGCCTCCTTCCTCTTGATTTATTTATTTTATTTATTTCCACTCCTTTTAAACCACCTGCCACTCCTTCCATGTCGATGACCATGGCATATATTCTGTATCAGAAACTAGAGCTCATCTGGTCTATCCAATGCAATTTCCTGAATCAGCACCCCAAACCCAATCTCAAATTGACCAAAAACTGATTCGTAACCCTTTTGGTACTGATGTTGGAGAATGGTCCCTGATCAAAGTGGTCCCTGGTCAAAGTGGTCCCTGGTTAAAAAAAGGTTGGGAACAGCTTTAGAAAGAGTACCTGAGCAGTACAGTTTGCCTTCATCCTAGGGAGGTTACATGATAAGAAAGTAAGTCTGGTCTCCATGCACATGTGTATGTTTGTGTGTGTGTGTTTGTGTGTGTGTCTACAATAAAGAGAGAGAGTGAAGGAAAGAAAGGAATGTGAACACAGCAAAGTAGCCCCAGATAGAGTTCATTACAATAGACAAGTTGGGAGGTAACTAAGGAATCATGCAAACCACTTTTCAGTTATACAATTAAGAGTAACGACATTATCACACCAGATCTTTAAAGCGAGCCACCCCACATTTCTGCCACTTTAAAGCCCTGCTGTGATAGCGTAGTAAGGTGCTGGATATAAAGCCTCTTCCAATCTGACCATTCAAACAGGAAAACAAACTTTCAAATAGGTAAAAACCTCACCGTACTTTGCTTTCCAGGAATTCAAGAGTTAGGTTTCATCGATCAATTTAGACTCAATTTAGACTCAAGCGTGAGGAAATGAGACCTAAAGGAAGGTTATATAGTACTAGCCCCTAAGGCTTCAGCACAGAAGAAAGGAGCCACAATCCATTTTCCAGGCAGAACTGAACCACAGCTTGGGTACCCAAAATTGGCTGATTAGATACTTAAAAATACTAATTTTCCAAGTTTCATTACTTTGATCTTTAGTTCAAAACTTTCTTCAGCTGGTGGGAAATCTATGTAATTGAGACATTCATTTGGGATGAATCGAGTCAAAGTTAGCTTGATGAATCTTATGGCTTGGATCCCATGGAAGCTTGAGCTAGAAATATCCTTTTATTAGTCTCAAAGGTATGGCAGGATTCCTTTATATCTTTTTATGCAATGAACACAGGCGTTGTTTCATGTCCTTGATGATACCAGGATCCTGCCATTAATATTGCAAATAGCCAGGTGTCACTTCATTTCCTCTCTAATTACTTGCCAGCCTACATGCATCTTCAGCACAGCACAACTTTATACTGTAGGCATTGAGTAAAGAAAAAGGAAAAAAACCCTAATTTCTTGACAGGAGTCATAAGCTAAAACATTCAAAGAGGCACAGGTTCTCCATCAATGTTTTGAAGGTTCTAACTTCAATCTCAATTTTTTACCTTCAAAATCTGTTCAAGAAACTGACTAGCTAGTAACCTTTTGTGCTCTTTTGATAGTTTTGTGCCTTTTGCAGTCAAACTTGTTTTATGCAGCTATTTTAGGTTCACGGTAACATGGAAAAGTGCCACGGGAGCTGAAAAGTACATGTACGCACCGGAACACAGAATTGTAGTAATTCCCAAGATTGCAGGCCGTTCTTTTTGGATTCGTGATTATGGCAAGAATTGCTATAGTTTTCTATTTCTGATACATTATGTTTGATTCATGCAATGCTTTTCCATCTAATATCAGACAAATTGTACTGTTAGTAAAGTGAGACAGCTGCATTGGGTAATGGATGATGGAGTCTAGGGCAGATCACTGGGCTGCTGTGGAATATGAGGGATATTGCGAAGTCTAGGGGTACTTTGAAAACTACCCCCAACATACCCTAAATCAGGGCTACTTCCACACAGCTGAATAAAATCCCACATTTTCTGCTTTGAACTGGGATATATGGCAGTGTGGACTCAGATAACCCAGTTCAAAGCAGATATTGTGGGATTTTCTGCCTTGATATTCTATGTTATATGGCTGTGTGGAAGGGCTCCAGGTTTCTGCCCTCCAGTGTGCTAATGAACACTGTCCCACTGGCAACATTTGGAATAGGCAAAGGAATGACCTTTGATCCTTTTCTTCAGGCAACAAAATGTCTTGAGCCCATCTTGTCCATAAATTGTGATCAGAAGGACACGATCGGAAAATACTGTATGATGTGCAAACCAGTCTTAAAGGCCTTTGAAAAAGAAGCTGTAGAAGTTGTTTACAAAACTTGTATCTCCATACCTTTCAATCTACCACTTTTATCTCTTTAACATCATCTAGGGAGAAACCAAAGTCCTCAAGCTGAAAAATCTCCGGCCTCAAGACTATGCCAGTTACACATGTCAGGTGTCTGTCAGAAATGTGTGTGGCATTCCTGATAAGTCCATCACCTTTGCGCTTACCAACACAACAGGTATGTCAAGGAACTCTAGCAGGTAATGCCATTAAGAAATATTTCTCACCAATAAGTGTGAATATTAATTCAATTTGCTTACTCCCACATCTTGGGGGTATCGTGGGGAATGGGTTTGGAATGTTTGGTTCTTTCATTTCCAAAATACGTACTTTGAGAACATCGATGTATTCTTCAGAAGTGAACAGAAACAGAGTTGTCCACTAAATACAATGAGTACAACTGTTCTTATCATGGAGAGGGTCAAGTTGTGCCTAGGTCTGAAAAAATGAATCTGAACAATGATAGGAAAAAAGACAACTATAATTAAAATTTTATATGAAAATATATTAATATACTTCTTGGGAGGAGAGCAATGACCAATCTCAATAAAATAGTGAAGAGTAAGGACATCACATTGGCAATGAAGATTTGCATAGTCAAAGCAAGGGTATTCCCCATAGTAACCTATGGATGTGAGAGCTGGACCATAAGGAAGGTTATGCGAAGGAAGATAGATGCTTTTGAACTGTAGTGCTGGAGGAAAGTTTTGAGAGTGCCTTCGACCGCGAGAAGATCCAACCAGTCTATACTTCAGGAAATAAAGCCCGACTGCTCATTGGAGGGAAGGATATTAGAGGCAAAGATGAAGTACTTTGGCCACATCATGAGAAGACAGGAAAGCTTGGAGAAGACAATGATGCTGGGGAAAATGGAAGGAAAAAGGAAGAGGGGCCGACCAAGGGAAAGATAGATGGATGGTATTATTGAAATGACTGGCTTGACTCTGAAGGAGCTGGGGGTGGTGACGGCCAACAGGGAGCTCTGGCGTGGGCTGGTCCATGAGATCACGAAGAGTTGGAAGTGACTGAATGAATAAACAACATATTAAAATCACAGGTTTTCGGTAGTTGGTTATTCAAAACACTGGAGCCAGCATGGAATAATGATTTAAGTGTTGGCCTGTGGCTCTGGATTCAATTCCCCACATGGCCATGAAAACCTGCTGGACTATCTTAAGCAAGTCACAAACTCATAGACTCAGAAAACCTCTTCATAGGGTTTTGGGATCTCCATAAATTGCAACTGAACTGAAAATAACTTGAAGACACAGATTCACAGCAGTTCAAAACATTAGACCACAATAGATGAATATTTCAGTTTCATTCGCTCACATATTCACACACCCCCCCACACACACACACCCTAGGTTATTCATGAAAATGAAGAAACTTTTGAGTTTTGATCTAATTTGAAAAAAACCTGAAACAAAACTTTCATCCAGCTTTTCCTCAGCATATGAATCCCATTCATTAAGTCAATAGAAGCATCTGTATTAAAAATTTTGACCCCATGAGATGAAGCTATAGCAGAGAAAGGACACATTCATGAGGGGGATATCCGATATCTTTGTAAATCCAATGTATGGGTAATATATATGAAAAGCTAATTATAATTAACAGTTTTGCATGCTTCTATGTATAGAAGCACCTCAGAAAGTGAGCTTTGAGTAAAACTTGTAATTCAGAATCAGCTGGTACCTATTTCCAGACAGTCTCATACAACTGGGTTCAGAGTTAAAGAGGGATGTTGAAAAGTATTTTCTATCAAAATATTCCTCTCTGAATACAATTAATCTAAGTATATATATTTCAAAGTATATTCTGATAATTTTAATAACCTTTTGAACCAGAAATCCAGTAGATGGATAAGTTTCAATCAGTCTGTGAAACCAGGAGGTGCCCATCATGCCCATCTTGCCCTTTCTTGAAATACAGATCTGGCCACAGTGGCTTATTCTTTGATTACCTCCCAGTCAGATTACTGTAATACACCTTACATTGAAAACTGTTCAGAAGCTGCAGCTAGTGCAAAATGCAGCAGCTGATGTCAGAGACCATTTTAGAGACCTTATAACACCAGTCTTTGAAGAACTGCACTCAATGTCAGTTTGCTTCTGAACTGAGTTTGGGGGTGTTGGTGTACACTGCAAAGCCCTACATGACATGGGGCCAAGATATATCCAAAAGACTGCTTCCATTCCATGTAAGTCACCCAGAAATTTCAGGACTTTAAAAAGGTAAAGGTAGTCCCCTGACATTAAGTCCAGTCATGTCTGACTCTGGGGTGTGGTGCTCATCTCCATTTCTAAGCCGAAGAGCCAGCGTTGTCCATAGACACCTCCAAGGTCATGTGGCCGGCATGACTGCATGGAGCGCCGTTACCTTCCCGCCGGAGCGGTACCTATTGATCTACTCACATTTGCATGTTTTCGAACTGCTAGGTTGGCAGAAGCTAGGGCTGACAGCGGTAGCTCACGCCGCTCCCCGGAATCGAACCTGCGACCTTTCGATCAACAAGCTCAGCAGCTCAGTGCTTTAACCCATTGCGCCAGTTATTTAGTGTAGCTACTTTGCCAAATCAGCTGAGTTTTCAATTACGGCACCTGTTGGCAGAATGTCACCTACAGGATACACTCATGCCATTGCCTGTTCTGGTAGCTTCCATGTGATCCCTGGCAGCACAGTGACAAAAAGTGACAATGCCCTTTTGAAATATTGCATGTGATGAGTGTGTGCCTTGTTTCCAAATTAAATAGTATTCTAGGAATCCTCCTGGAAGATAAATTACTTGGAAACAAAACTTGCAGCTCAAGACAAGATTGGTTTTTAAAGTTTTAAGTCTCCCTAACTATAACTGTGCTCTGGTTTCCCTTCAGATTGTATAACAATTAGCCATCTTTTCCAATATCTAGAGCATTACTGACTCTTCTGGGTAGCAAAAGTTGTTACTCTGTTCTATGAAGTATGCTAGTCCTCTTTAAAAATGTGGCCTGAACCTTGTACTGTTTGACATTTCTACTCCAAATCCCTGTCCAGCTTCCAGTTGACTTTCCAACAGTTTATCTATCTCCAGTGTTGCTATCCTCAGCAGTGGAACTCTCTGCCCCGGAATGTGGTGGAGGCTCCTTCTTTGGAGGCTTTTAAACAGAGATTGGATGGCCATCTGTCAGGGGTACTCAGAATGTGATTCTCCTGTTTCTTGGAAGGGGATTGGACTGGGTGGCCCACAAGGTCTCTTCCAACTCTATGATTCTATGATTCTCCAATACCAGAAGTATTGGCTATGAGAAGTTAAACCTTGTGAAATTTAACACCCACTCATCTGCCCTTTTTGCTCTTAAAATCCAAACTACCTTCTGCATGTGATTGAGGCAGAGAAGGGTTCAACAAATGATTCAGCTATGATAATGTGTTTTGAACTCTTGTGTGGCAGTGTATATCACCTTTGGCACCTTGATAAGGAGGGATGCCTGCAAGATGGATAAGTGAACACAGTATTCTGTGACACCCCAAATATGGAAATTATTTATTTATTTACAGTATTTATATTCTGCCCTTCTCACTCCACAGGGGACTCAGGGTGGATTATAATGCACATATACATGGCAAACATTCAATGCCATTAGACATACAACATATATAGACAGACACAGAGGCAATTTGACATTCCAGCTTTCCGGCTTCATGAGGGTATGCTTGATTCCAGCCACAGAGAGGGCTGCCACTTCACCATCCACTTGTGAAGCTGAGACCTTAATGGAGTACTTCCTCATTCTTACACATGCTACTGGAAGGTTTTATGGTGTCATAAATTAGTTAAATTAGCCTCCCAGCATAAAGTGGTACCTAAATTTCCTTGACAGATGCAAATGTCTTTCGGGCTGCATAGGTCAACAGCAAGCTAGACTATTAATGGTCAGGAGCTCACTCTGACCAGTGTTGGCTTCGAACTCACCTCTCGGTCAGTAGTGATTTAACACAGCTGGCTACTTACTAGCTGCGCCACAGCCCGGTCCCTGGCTTTGGAAGAAACCAAACAAGAAAAGAATTTCACCTCAACTTAGCAGTTGTCATATAATTCTTTAGTTTTCCAAAAACAAAAAAGTCATAAATGCTTTCAAAACACACTAATGTTTCTGCTGCTGCTGTAGTAGCTGCTGCTGCTTCTACTTCTTCTTCTTCATTTTAATGTGGAACCAACTGTTGACCTATGAACCAGAGGGAATCTCTCCCATGAATTATGATTTTTTTTTTCCTATGAGGAGAAAGAATGGAGAGCCTTATGCATGCAGAGCATATGTTTCAACAGTGAACTGTGGCCTTTGGAATATAAATGACTAGTGTGAGGCTTTAGTATAAAGGACGGAAGGCTTTAGGGGCAATACTGGATAATGAAGTGAACACAAGTAAACAAGACAATGTTGTATTTGAAGGTGTGAAAAGGCCAATGCCCATGTATTTAAAAAGTGCCCTATTCAAGACAGAAAGACTAACCTTGCTGTGTTCAGCAGTAGTTAGAATTCGTTTGCCATGTTTCCCTTGCAAAGAAAACCAAAACACAAAAACACAACCTTAATGTGAATTCATAAGAAAGGAACTCTTTAGATTAGGGAGGGTAAGTTGGTGTAAAGAAATAACTTTTTAAAACAACAAAAGAATAGCAGCTAGGATGAGCCCTACTGTTAGTGTATAATGAGGCTACTGCCAGAGCAACAGATTTTGCATATGAAATGATAGGGAATTGTTTGTTGAACTGTTGAAGATGATGCTTGGGGAATCCTCTCCCCCTGCCCCACCCCCGCCCCACCCCATATGCCAAAATAAGCTGCTTTGCTTTCGATGCTGTTTTGTAGGGGGTGGCTGTTTGCTATACTGGTTTAGGCATCTATATGGGATTAGCTGACAGATTGGACATCTGTAGTTCACCATTCTGTTCACACCGTGGTCAGGAGGTACTGATGGGGATTCCACAAGTAAGAAGGGTGTGTTGAACAGCACCCTTCTATGTGTTCTCCCCCAGAACTGGTATGCAGAGACATTCTGCTATTGACACTATAGAAAATCTAGACCCATCACAAAAGTGATAAATAATCTTCTTCTCCATGGACTTAACAAAACCCTACCCAGAGATGCCCAAGAAGACAGCCAGTGTAAGCCTCCCTGACCCCGCCCTCGGGG